TGCCGCTCAACCACCATCAACGTGGGCAGCCTTGTACGTGCGAGGCAAAGTGAAAGAGGAGCTGTTGCCCCAAAGAAACCCTAGCTAAACACGGTTCAAAATGGTTCTATTATGATTCGTGCTGCCTGTTTGGGCGGACTCAGTCCGGTTCTACTCATCTGGTTGGAATAGGGGTTGTTGTGGGGGAAGCTTATAACACATAGAGAGAGAGAGAGAGCCACACACATGCACACAAGTCCATACACAGAGAGAGAGAGAGACTTGTGTGCACGTGTGTGGCTCGCTTGCAGTGGAAGTTTGTGTGTAAAGTGTGATCCATGCTCATGAATGCAAGCAAAACTTTTGGAAGAGGGTATGTGTGTGTGTGTGTGTGTGAGTGTGTGTGTGTGTGTGTGTGTGTGTGTGTGTGTGTGTGTGCGCGTGTTTGGGGGGAGGGGTGTGTGGGTTTGTGGGGGTGTGTTGGTGTGGGTGTGCGTGCATGCTCATTCACAGTTGTATTTTAGACAATGACCCACAGCAACCCCCTTTCCACCCAGGTGCACAGAAATCACCATTGGAACAATCTTACCCTGCAATATTTCCAAATGATTGTGGTGTTTTGGCGAAGTGTGTTTGTGTGTGTGCGCATATGCACGCCATGGCATGAACACTATGCGTGGTAGGGCTTTTTAACAACTGTGAGACTCACCGGCAGGAGTGGCGTTCTTATGACCAGAGGGGGCTTAATGCGTATTCTACGGATGCACGCTTTTCGGCCATGATATGGGGGAACCTGGCTCAGCCATAAGCACCCAGATAGGAAGGAGGAAGAGACAAATGGGGAACACCAAGTGGCTTCACTCGCTCATGCACATCACATCATTCACCCACATCAATTCTGAAAAGTTGTTTCCTATTCCCTTAAAAAAGGAAAATAAAAATAAAAATATGATCACAGCAACCCGATTTCTTGCAGACTTAGAAGGACATCGTAGAACTTAAGTGATCAAGAAAATAGCACAAGATCAAGAAAGTAAGGCGTCCACCTGATTTTTACAGACTTAGAAAGACATTGTAGAACTTCACTGCAGTGATTAAGAAAATAGCACAAGATCAAGAAAAAACACTTAACTGATTCAGGTTGGTAAGCAGCAGCAACTCACGAAGCCAAGTCGCGACCTCCTCATGCCTTATGCTACGGGCTTAAAGCATGCAGAGTCGGTGGGTTTTTGAAAGGGAGCATGAAAGTTGTCAACTGCACGTAAGCAACCAGGAGCAGTTTTATTCATAGTTGAGAAAGCCGTGACTTCCCCATGCTTTTACGCCACATGTATCAAGTGCAAGGAAACTTAGCAAATTTAGCGAAGCGAATGACAGCAACCAAATTGCATCGTCCCATAGAAATCCAGATAGTCATGAGCTCGGACTGAAAGCAGGATGCAACACGAGATACACCAAATAAGAGCAAGGCAATGAAGTCAATTGATAATGAAAGCCATGTCCCTGCCTCCAACATCAGTCTTCCCAATGTTGCTCTCCTATGTGGCACTCGGCCCCCAGACTACCATCAGACAGCACCTATTACCTAGACTCTCTAATAACGACAACAGGTCTTCATGAAGATTAGCAGCCCGATGATGAATGAAGACTCCAACTATGGCGGCCCGCTCATCATCACCAGGTAAGTGCTTATATGCCCCGCTCATCCCTTGACTTCCCCCACATCATAGTCCCTCGCCCAAGGACCACAGCTTGACCTGCCAGGCTATGGTGCAGGCAGCCTGGCTATGGCTGCCTCGTGTTCGCTGCTCCCACACACCTTCTTCCTTCATGCCTCACCAGCACCCTTCCTCATCTGCCTGACCTTCATCCAGCAAGCCAGCGCTCCAGCAGCACGGCCACAGTTCAGCTAGCTAGAATGTGCCGAAGTGAGGGA